AACCAAGCACTAACTATATTTGCATGAAACTGGAAATACTTATGTCGAACAACACTTAACCAGAATTCGTTTATCCATAAAACGGCAAAGCTCGAATTCATTGCCTGAAGAAATATTTACTAGGACTTATGACCTCCAAGAGTTCAAAAAAAATTGTAACACCTACCTCCTTTCCCTATCCTCTCTAGGAACGCGCGATGTTCTCGGAACATCATAGGGATTTTCTGTAGTGCGCTCCAAGCGATAAAATTCAAGCTCCAACTATATTTGCACGAAACTTGGTGAAATATCGGATTGATGATAAACTCTTCATTGAAATAAATATAGTATATTATTGATATTCAAGTACTTACTACACTTGATACCATTGGAATCCAATGGGTCCTTATATTTGAATCAATGATAGTGAAAGATCGGATTGATGATAAACTCGTCATTGAAATAAATATAGTATATTATTGATATTCAAGTACTTACTATACTTGAAAATTCCATTGAAATCCAATGGGTCCTTATAATTGAATCAATGATAGTGTACGATCGGATTGATGATAAACTCGTTATTGAAATGAATATAGTATATTATTGATATTCAAGTACTCACTATACTTGAAAATTCCATTGGAATCCAATGGGTTCTTGTAATTGAATCAATGATAGTATCCAATTGGTAATCAAATATATTCTTATCATTGAATGGATATTTATTATACTTGTGGAATACGGAATAGAGTATATAATTGAATGAATGCTTATCCTATTCATTATATGATAGTCTTTTTTCTGTGTTCTCTGATGGATCTAGAGCACAACTGAGGCAACCCTGATATTCACAAAACAACCAACTTCTAAAAACAACAACAACAAAATACAACAACGAATTAAAAGTATTCAAGAACTACACCAAGTATTTGGAAACAATAAGATGAAAAAAAAAATCAGTCAATGATTTCACTACAAAATAAATGTTGTTTCATCTCATAGTCGTCTAATATTTGATGTAATTTCAATGAAATTGGACAAAAATAAAACATGTTATCACACCTCGGGCATGAGAAGGTTCCTAAATCTACAATACCATTCGAGTCCCCAAATTTTTGCTCTCTACTACTTGTACTGTATATACCACTATCATATGCCCATCACTATCACTCCTCTCCACGTCAATCGTGACAATTTCCTCTTCCTGTTTTTGTTGTTGTGGCTCCTAGAACATTTTCCCCATCATTGAAACACACACACACACACACACACACATCACCCAACACTCTCGAATATCTCCACCTGTGGTTCAACGAATGGGGATGATGTCCCTTCTTCTCCTTGCCGAGGCGAGTAGGGTTCCACTTCGAGAGAAGATGTTTCTCTTCCCTTGATTCTCCTCCGCTTCTCTGATGATACATCTTCTTCGAGGGCAAAATTGAACAGCTTTCTCGCCTCTTGCAATAGGTCCAATTCCCGATAATTTATGGCAACAGCTCTTGTGAACTTGATAGGGAGGTTGCCAAATCTCCTCTAGAGGGTGATGAGCATCACCCTTCTTCTCTATGTCTTTCACACCGAATCTGGAAATGAAATGTGTGTTAATTTAACTATTATGGGGAGTTAATGCAACGGAAGAAAAATAGGTTGGAACTATTAGAGGACTTGAAATCTGTATTGCTGAATCCATGAGAATTATCAAAAATTTCACCAGAAATAATACTCACTTGAATAGTTGTGTGAAAACTACCATAGCCATGTCAGCTAGGAAGCTCCTCTTGTCCGTAATGTTGATCATAAGAGTGGATGATACACCTGTCATAGTTATTTATTCATTCATTTATTTATTTATTTATTCTCAAACAGGTAAAAAACCTTATTACATGAGAATCATAATGTATATAATAACAGTACCTATATGATAACAGTCTTAGAGTATATCATTGTAAATATTCTACTAACTACAATAATTGAAATGATCATTTCAAATCACTGATGGCGCGAACACACTATAAAAACTGTTTATTCGAAATTAGAAAAATATGTTTTCTTACCATGATGAAATTTTGAGGGAGGGAGAACAAAGCTGACTTCTGACAATAGTAGGAAGTTGTTTGTTAATTTTATCATTGTTATAATGGGTGAACAGTTATTAGTTGATACATATTATGGAACATCAAAGAATTGTACAAGCCGGGTCAATCGATTGGGAGATCTTTTTTTCAATACTGATCGGAGATAGGGGCAGTTATAATATTTTTTGTAGATTTTATAACACCTTGTGACCATATTTGCTTGTCTTCTATTTTCTAGACTGGGTATTTCAAATGCACTTCTAAGTGCTATTAACTATACTATAGTCCGGGTAAACTTTATATTTTTTATAATACAGATATCTCAGAAATCTATTTTGAATTTTTTTCAACCTATTCTTGTTGATTAGCTGAGAGGGATGCCAGATTGCAGCGCCATATTCAAGTTTAGGTCTTACTAGAGTATCACAAAGTGCAGTTATTGCTTTGGTGTCATTGGAATGTGCACTTTGTCTCATTATAAAGCCCATAGTCCGTAGTGCCTGCGATGCGATATGATAAAAATGTGGTTTATACGAAAGTGCGAAGTTATAATATATACCCAGATCTTCAACAGTCTCTACTCTGGATAACTGCATGTCGTTCATCGAGTAATCGTATAATATTTTAGATGATTTTCGGCTACAAGTTAGTACGATACATTTGGATATATCAAATGGGAGTTCGTTTTTTACACTCCATCGGTGGACCCTATCAATATCTTCCTGTAATTTGACGCAGTCTTGCGGGCTTTCGATCTTTATATACAATTTCAGAACATATGCAAATAATAGGTACTCCGAATACTTTATATTATGTGTAAGGTCGTTGGGCGTGGCTTGGAAGACACCACATGTCGGTTGATGAAAAACATGCGAAATTTCTCTGAACAGTTTTCTGCATATTTGACCCTGAAGTATTGGTTATTCAAGTAAGAAGACAACAATTTGAGTGCTTGGAGATCAGTGCTATATTTATGGAACTTTTGCAGTATCACATCGTGATTGACTTTGTCGAAAGCCTTCTGGAAATCAGTATAAATTATATCGACCTGTTTATTGTTATCTAGATGGTTGAGGACATGATGAGAAAATGTTAAAAGATTTGTGGAGGTTGATTTTTTCGGAACAAATCCGTGCTGTTCTTCACAAATATCCCCTCCAAAGACACTCCACACTTTCGCATAAATAATCTGCTCAAATATCTTCGCAGTAGCACATAAAACTGCTATTGGCCTATAGTTTTCAATTTCGGAGACTTTGCCAGACTTATGGATAGGTGTTACAATAGCTTCTTTCCATAAGTCTGGGAATGTATTCGATTTTATTGCTAAATTATAAATATATAGAAGAGGCTGCTTTAACCAGAGTCCACATCCTTTAACAATATATGGTGGAATCTTATCACTTCCTGCAGATTTGTTCGGTTTAAGTTTTTTCAGGGCTTCAAACTGATTGCTGTCAGTTACTCCACTGATTGATAAGTAACTTTCAATATTATTATTATCCAAGTTAGGATTGTAAGATGCCTGCTCGTTGCTGTAGACTGATTGAAAATATTTGCCAAAAGAACGTGCAGACTCGTAATTTTTTATGGTAGTGCCCTGTAGCTTGAGTGTGGGGGACGAGTTATATGTTTTTTTATTACTTTTTGTGAAAGACCAGAAGTATTTTAGATCGGTATTATTGGCGTTCTCGATGTTTATTATGTACTCTTTATGACACTTCTCTATTAGTTTTTTAATTTTCGTCTTTCCCCAACAAACAGTTGCATATAATGGTTGGATAGGTTTTTCAACTTCCTCAGTTCATTTTTTCTTTTTAGATATTTTATCACATCATTAGTGATCCAAACAGGAAACTTACTCTTTTTATTTTTCAATTGAGGTGATAATTCGTCGAATACTTCATATATCTTATTGTAAATAGAATCAACGGCGTCATTGACATTTTCTATTTCGAACATTTCAGTTCAGTCAATATCTCTGATTCTATATGAGACCTGTAAGAAGTCGCATCTTTCAAAATTATAAGAGGTTTCTGTTTCAAAATAGGTTTTGTCTCCGCAACCCTTACTATTTTCTATTTCTATATCAATTATCAATGCGGGGTGGTTTACATCTTCTTCTATCAGAGGAAATTCAGATTTGGATACTTTTAGTACATCGCAGTTTTCTGACGCTGTTAACAACAAATCCAGTTTTCGATCATTAATATTAAGAACTTCATTTATCTGTTCTAAAGCGTGTAGGTCTATAAAGTCCAAAAAAGTCGTGTGCCTGTCATCCAAGCCTATTCGGGACATCAAATGGGATTTGCTGTTTACTGCTGCTTCAGAGTGTACTCGTAAAATGTGATTCGATGGATGGAAATTGCAAATTTATATCGGTTGATATGAGGAGAAAAAAAAACCTATCACATGTTTGCTACAGACTTTGTTATTTGTTGAAGAAACATACGATCATTGACCTAATGAAAAACTTGTTTTTTAGACTAATTTGATATGATGTTGCTGACTGTGGCAAAATGTTGAAATCGTATGATGGATTCGTGGGGAAGTTTTTTGAGATAAGTTGTGAAGTGATGTGTGCAAATTGTTTGCGTCCTTCACGTACACGAGGCGATTTTTTCTCTTAACTTGATTTTTTCTCTCAACTGAAAACTGATATCGGAGAGTAATAAATTTCGAACATTTCCATTATCAGTGTATTTTCTGCTGTTTACTCGCTTCTCACTCATCTAACACACATAACCAGTTACCAAAACCCATACCAACGTTCATGTCTAGAGCCGTCTTTCATTGCCAGAGTAAGTTGTGAATAATGGATCATTTGGCTAGCAAAGTTATGAAGAATATTGATCATATTTATGGAGTAATTGAATCAAATGATGAATATTGTAAATGGATCAAATTAGTGCAAAAATCTATTCGTTCATCACAAAAATGTATCAAGACAAAAGCAAATTGTGTTGAGAATTTTTCCGGAATTGAATCATGTTGAGGTCTCCAGAAATATCATAAAGAAGAATTACATCAATTGAAAGATGAAGCAAGACATCAAAATCGTAATTTGGTTCGGAAAGATTTGGATTCATGTTTTAGAAATGAAATAAGAACTGGTGCTAATATCAATGGGAAAATAGAAGACTCGATAATATTCCTATCAAAGAGTTTCTAGAGTTTTTTCATGAAAATCCGAGGTGAACTGAAAGAATCCATATTGAAGTTGAAGGCCGTATTTTTAAGGAATTTTGTAAAACCGAAAACTTTGGAGATTGACATGAAACATTTCAATACGAAATCTCAAATCATTGATAAAAACACCAATTTGAAGTCATGGATTGATGAGAATATTGGGGATAGGATATTGAAAGCACTCGAGAAATTTCAGGAGAGAAATAGTGGCTGGACATTGTATCAAATTTTACAACTGAAACTGAACATTAATCAATATTCACCCATTAACGCTAGTAATTCTACTTATGTCGAGTTACCAAAGGTTATCAGGAATATCAGAAGTGTGATCAATATTAGGAATCATTATCTATATTGTTTTTTATGGTCAGTTGTATGTGCTCTCTTTCCAGTTAGCCCGGAAAAAAAGTAAAACATCTTCTTATCCTCATTTTACTGAAGTTTTGAAATATAATGGCATTAAATTCCCAATGAGATTGAAGGATGTTGAATAATTTTGAATCCTGAATGAACTTTCTATTGATGTTTCCACAACTAATGAAAGGGGAAAGCATATCGAAATACTTCCCCTATGCTCGAGAAGTACTGATTTTCCAAGAGGAATCAATTTATTAATGGTGTCTTCGCCGCATCATCACCATCCTCAGGAAAATGATCTCAACGAAGATGAGGAAGAGGAAGATGTTCAATCCAAAATCAGAATTCATCACTTCGCTTACATGAAAAAATCTACCTGAATTACTACACCGGAAAATCAATCTCATGAAAAATGGTTATGTGATTGTCTGTCTGAATCATTTCAGAACTCGTGAAAATCTGGAAAAACATTCTATTCAAAGCAGAAAAATCAATAACACTCAAGTTGAATAACCAAAAGTGAATGAGAAAATTTCGAAATTCAAGAATTTCAAGAATTAAGGAAAGTTTCCATTCGTTATTCATGCTAATTCAGAGTGTCTGTTGAAGAAGTTAATGGGCAATCAGTTATGTTCCTGAAGCCGGACCTGTCTATGGAGACAATGCGATGACATCCAGAATGCAGAGTCAGCTTCCTACCGGACTTCATCTTTCTATTTTTGCTGAATATTTTCATACCGTTAATTATCTTCTAAATCATAATATAAAAAGGAAATATGTATTCTATTCAGCATTCCATTTTTGTCACTTGTAGCCTGCATTTTCAACTTCATTAAAAACGCATCGAGAAAAGACATTCTTTTATTGTGTGTTGAGTGAATGTTGATAAAGAGTTATTCAATACAAAATTGGTTTCAGAACTACGAAGGTGCTTCTACCAACCACAACTGCTAGGGGCACAAACGTAACTGGCGCAGTCGGCGACGGATTTTGGAAAAACAAGATTCAAAAACCACCACCAGGGAAAATTTCAGAAGACGAGTTAACATAGTGTGGAGAAACTGCAAGCAGGAAGATCCAATAGTGTTTCAACAAATCTCCAGTGAATTTCCAAAAAGACTTTAGTACCTGCAAGTGAGGACAGCAATCCAACTTGGAGATACGGAGTGCAAATCTGAATATCCCAACAGAGGAACGAATCAGAGGACCACTATCAACCACTTCGAAGGACAGCATTCCCTAGATTGGTTTAGGATTAAGAAGAAAGAAAACCAAGAAAACGAAGACCCAAACAACCTAAATGTAAGTCATTCTCAATTTTTCCTGCACTTCCTTTTCCTACACTGTGAAAAGTTATTCTCTCTTAATTTTTTATGTTCAACGTAGTCAGAGAAATATCACAAAAAACCGTGAAATCCGTGAACAGCGTGCTACTTTAAACCAACAAAACTATAATTTAGTTACTGAAAGTAACGAAAACCTAAATCTTGACTACCTTTTTCAAAGTTTCGCTAATTTGAATTTGGAAAGTAACCATATTTTTCTGGTGATCCTTGTGAATTGAATAATTTCTGTGCAGCTTGTGATGAAACCTTTATTCAATATGATGCAGAACCTGCATTCATAAAAAAAATAATTTTGAGAGGTATAATCAGCAAACTGAAAGGAAAAACTTCAACTTTGATTTCGAGTAGAAATGAATTAACAGAATGGGCTCAAATTAGGCACCTATTGAGAGTCTCATTTTCAGATCAACGATCATTTGCATGTCTCTTACAAGAACTTCATAGTTTAAAACCAAATCCAAAGGAGAATTCATATAATTTCGGTATCAGATGTCAATACTTCAGAAGTCTTATTTTCTCATCAATTAATAATGACAATACTCTTACAGTACATGAAAAAAGTGCTCAAATAAAAAATATTGAAAAATTAATTCTCGTAACTTTTTTGAAATATTTACCATCCACAATTCAGACAGTAGTGAGAATGAAAAATCTCAGTAGTTTGGAAGAAGCACCCAATCAAGTTCTGGAAGAAGAAAATTTCTTGTCTCCAGTTAATGATGGTAAAAGAAATCAATTTCAGTCTATTCCTCAACCAAGTTTCAAAACACCTCTAGTACCTCAGACACCTCAACATTTTGTATTACAAAATAAGTTCCCAAATCAAAATTTTGCAAATCAAAATAGAAATTTCCCAAATCAAATTTTTTTGAGTCAAAATAGAAATTTCGCCACTCAAAATTATTCAAATCAGAACAGAAATTTCCCAAATCAAAATTTTTCGAATCAATATCGTAATTTTCCTAGTCAATCAATACAAATTCAATCACAACAAGTACCACAAAGGTTCTGCACCAATCAACAGGTTTTTGGAAAGCCGAATAATGCAAATGTTTGGAAACCAAAAAATCAGGAACCTCAAAATAAACCAACACTTATGTCCGTAGTTACAAGAAATGTCAATTCTCCGCAAAATTCACAACAAAGGAATTTTTTCCAACCACAATCGAGACCAACTTTCATTTCTGAAGAAATTTATCGAATGAATGAACCTCCAAATGAAAATGAAAATAATTTTGAATCTATTCAAGAGCAAACAGACCCTTTGAATTTCATTGCTGATGATACCAATATTTATTTAAAGAATCACAAAATAATATTGAAAGGCAATACGAATATAATGAACAGATTTTTGTAACAAATAACGATCAAGCTTTTGAGGACCCAACTCAAAATTTTCCTGTAGCAGCCTCTGGAACGGAGACAACTTAGAAATTCATAATATTGAAGATCAAAGGAAACTTCCATTCATTGAAGTTTCGATTCCAAATTTCAGACCGTTGAAATTACTTATAGATTCTGGAAGCCACATTTCACTTTTAAATCCGGCACTTGCGAAGAAATATTTTGCAAAATATGTTTTCAACAAGCCAAATATAATAAGAACATCCTGTGGACAACAATGCTCCAAATTTGAAGCACACATACCAGCGTTTTCAGAATTTCAATCTGAAATGAAAATTATTTTTACTCTTTTTGATTTTCATCCATTTTTCGACGGCTTATTGAGTTTCAAAGATATCAAAAATATAGGATTCAACTGGAATATTCAAGACGGTTACTTGTACAAAAATGATGTTGCAATTCAAGTTTTTCAATGTTCTCCATCTGAGTATCATTGTTATAATATAACTGTAGGTGAAAGTGAAATTTTTAGAACTAAACTTCCTGTAAACACATTTTTTGATGGAACTTATTATCTATCTCAAACAAATTTGAATGAAACTTGTTTTATCCCTGGAAGCATAACGACAGTAGAGAACGGTCAAGCAATAGTTGAAATTCACAATTTAGACTCTCAAGATATTCACATTAATTTGACATCACCTCTTCAAGTATATCCAATTGATGGATTCAATCAGAATTTGATAGAAACAATCCTTACCCAAATGAAAATGAAATTGAAGATTTATTACGCTTAAATCATTTGAATTCAGAAGAAAAATCGAAGATTCTCAAATTGTGTAAAACATATCATACCATTTTTCACTACCCTGATCAACCGCTTACTTCTACTACTCAAACCACCCATAAAATCAAAACGATAGACGAAGAACCAATTTATACAAAATCATATAGATTTCCGGAAATCCACAAGAAAGAAGTAAATAAACAAATAACACAAATGTTGAACGACGGCATCATTAGAAATAGTTCAATCCCTTGGTCAAGCCCTATTTGGATAGTATCAAAAAAACCAGACGCCAGCGGACAACAAAAATGGCGAATTGTCATTGACTATAGAAAATTGAATAACAAAACAATACAAGACAGATTTCCTATTCCCAATATTGACGACATTTTGGAAATATTAGGGAAAGCCCAATATTTCACTACACTAGATTTGGCCAGCGGTTTTCATCAGATAAAGATGCACGAAGACTCTATAGAAAAAACAGCCTTTTCAACTGACCTAGGACATTTTGAATTTTTGCGCATGCCATTTGGATTAAAAAATTCACCCTCCACTTTTTCTCGTATGATGATGGAAGTTTTAAAAGATTCGGTAAACAGGATTTGTCTAATATATATGGATGATGTGATTATTTTTTCTCCAACTCTGGATGAACACATTTCAAATATAAAAGAAATATTTAAGAAATTTCAACAACATAACCTCAAAATCCAACCAGATAAAAGTGAATTTTTACACAAACAAGTTGAATTTTTAGGACATATCATTACAACTGAAGGAATAAAACCTAATCCAAGAAAATTAAGAGCTATAGAAAACTTCCCAATTCCAAAAACATACAAAGAAATTGAAAGTTTTTTAGGCATGATAGGATTTTATAGGAAATTCATAAATAATCTTGCAAAGATAACAAAACCATTAACTCAATGTTTGAAAAAAGGTAAAAAAGTTGAACACACTCAAGAATTTATACATGCATTTGAAACTTGCAAAAAACTTTTATGTAATGAACCAATTCTAATACATCCAGATTTTTCGAAAATCTTCACATTGACTACCGATGCAAGTAAATATGCCATAGGCTCTATTTTATGTCAAGATGGTGAACCAGTTTGTTTTGCAAGTAGAACATTAAATCCCAATGAAATCAATTATTCAACTATAGAGAAAGAATTGTTGTCAATAGTTTGGTCAGTTAAGTACTTCAGACCATATCTTTTCGGAAGGCATTTTAAAATCAAATCCGACCATAAACCTTTAAAATGGCTAGATAATCTGAAAGAACCAAGTTCAAAATTGATTAGATGGAAACTGTTGTTATCTGAGTATGATTACGAAATTGATTATATAAAAGGCAAAGAAAATATTGTTGCTGATGCACTCTCTAGGAACCCACCTGACACCTTGTCAATCATTAATGAAATAGGAGACTCCGATGAAATCATCCAAGATTTTATCAGAGACTATGAAAATTATGTGTCAACAGTCCATACAGCGGACGAAACCCCTATATTAGCATTTCCCTTTTCAGCAAAGTCATTGAACCGTCATAAATACCAGATGATTATAAAAATAGTAGATACTTCACCGGCAATTCTGTGTCGTCAAGAAAAAATATTCGAAAATCATAGATTTTTTATAAGTATTAGAAAGAGACATCTAGAAGAAGATTTGGAAGAATTCATAGCAAATTTGATAAACGATCGAACCTATCATTTATATTTTTCCGATAAAGAACACGAAAGAATCTTCACCGTAGCTATGCAGGAAAAATTAATAAGAATAAATTCAAGAATATTCATTTGTTCAAATATGTTGAAAGATATCGAAAGCGAAAATGAACAGCTCGATAAAATAAATAATCATCATGTCTATAAGACTGGACATCGTGGAATTACTACAACATTAGAATCACTCAAGAAGAATTATTATTCGCCGAATATGGATAAAAATGTGAGAAATTACATCAATAATTGCAATATTTGTCAAAAATCTAAGTATGAACGTAAACCCAATGAATTCGAATTTCAACCAATTCCAATAGGAACCAAACCTTTTGAAAGAATTCATATGGATACTCTTTCTATTTCAAAAGAAAAATTTTTGACTATAATTGACACTTTCTCAAAATTTGCTCAAGCATATTCAATGCCTGGAATAAATGGAATCAGTGTACTTGATGGACTATTGTCATTTATTTCTCATTATGGAATACCACACACAATAGTATGTGATGGAGGTTCAGAATTCAATAATCAAAATTTTCAAGATTTTTGGAAGCTACATTAGATAAATATTCATTTTACCACTCCCAAAAATCCGAATTCAAATAGTTATATCGAAAGGTTACACTCAACAATAATTGAACAAATGAGAACTCAAACAAAACAAAATCCAACTCAGTCCTTACAAAATTTAATGAAATATTCAATATTACATTATAATAATTCTATTCACTCTTCCATTGGATATACTCCATTCGAAGTTGTTTCAGGACATCTTTCTTCGAAAGATCCATTCGATATATCAACAAGGCGACCCTCTAGGCCCTTTATTAATTTGTCTTGCAACAAAGGATTTAGTCAATTCAGTAAAATCTCCTCTCAACGTTTGGTATCTTGATGATGGAACAATAGCTGGAAATGTCAATTCTGTTCGAGATGATTTTGAGAATATTCTTAGAATGGGCAAAGAAATTGGTTTGGAATTGAATATATCTAAATGTGAAGGCTTCATTTATGGTGGTGATGATTTTTCGAAGAAAAAAGTACTCATGGCTGTTGAACAATTTGCCCCTGGTATTAGATTCCCCACGCATGATTATCTGTCACTTCTCGGAGCTCCTTTATTACCAGAGGGAATCGCAAATTCAATTAAATCAAAAATTTCATCAATAAAATTAATTTCAAGCCGTTTACCTCAACTTAGTTCACATCATGCTCTTTTCATCCTTAAAAATTGCCTGGGAGCTTCAAAAATTCTGCATTTGATGAGATGTTCTCAAACATAGATGAGAAAAAAAGAATTATCTGATCTCGATGACATCCTGCGTTCTTGTCTTGTATCAATTACCAACACTAATTTGGGTGATCATGCTTGGACTCAAGCAAGTTTTCCAGTGAATAAAGGTGGTCTCGGAATACGTCGTACAGAGGAACTAGCTCTCCCAGCCTATTTGGCTTCGGTTCACTCTGTTGCCGGTCTGGTTACCAGTATTATTCCTGAGTTCGTGGTCGAGAATGAAGCTTCCTCGGCAATTAGAGAGTGGTGCGGATTAACTGGGTTACCTTCACCCTCTACTTCAGTTCAAAAACTTTGGGATAGTCCACTAGTAAATGAAGCTTGGGACATAATCATATCTTCCGCCTCCGTCTTTGATAAAGCTAGACTTCAGGCAGTTTCATTGAAAGAGTCTGGATCATGGCTCAATGCATTCCCAATACCTAGCCTAGGTAATTTCCTCGATGACAACTGTCTGAGAATTTCTGTTGCATTACGTCTGGGTGCAGCATTATGCTGTTCATATAAATGCATTTGCGGTACTGAAGTTGATGTATATGGTCATCATGGATTGTGCTGCAATAAGAGTTCAGGAAGATACATGCGTCATTCAGCAATCAACGATGTGATTAAACGAGCTCTCATCTCTGGAAACGTTCAAAGTATTCTAGAACCACCTGGATTATGCCGTGTTGATGGTAAACGACCTGATGGAATGCCATTGATACCTTGGAAGCGTGAAAAAGCACTGATTTGGGATGTCACCTGTGTAGATTCTTTAGCAGATTCCAATATAGTTTCATCTATCAAAGCTGCTGGAACCCCTGCATGTGAGGCTGAGAAAAGAAAGTGCGGAAAATATAAATGTTTGGAAGACAAGTTTATCTTCATACCATTAGGGTTCGAAACTTTTGGACCTTGGGGACCTTCAGCCAAAGAAATGATTTCAACTATTGGCCATTTGATTTAATCACAAAGCAGTGAAGCTAGATCTACTGAATACCTTCGCCAAAGAATTTCAATTGAGATCCAGAGAGGCAATGCTGCTTGCATTCTCAATACTATACCATCGAGCAAAGGTCTCGAAGAAATCTTCTATATACTGGGTGATGCATTTCCAATAAGAACCCGGACTTGTGCAAGCAGATCTACACAAGAAAATCCATGTAAACTCGTTAAACCCATCCATGCTGTTGATCTCCCACACACGCCAAGTGTCGTTGAGTCATATTCGAGTAACCTGTCAACCTATTCAACACCATCTGGTCAACCATCTGAAAATCAAAATTCAACATCGATATATCTCCGATCCAGCGATGGAAATTGTGAATACTGGTTCAATGGCTGTCCAATATCCTGGAAGAAATTTGGTCTTAACGGCTTGAGAAACACTGGGAACACGTGTTTCATGAACAGTATCATTCAGTGCATGTCTCACACTAAGTGGTTGTTGGAGTATTTGATGATAGACTTATATAACAGAGATATCAACACAAGCATATCCAGCACGAAGGGATATTTGATGAAGGCTTTCGCAGAAGTCATAAAAGAACTGTGGTCGGAAGATTCGACTGACCAAGGTGTCAATATGAACTCTTTGAAGTGCACAATCCAAAAATTTGCGCCGTGCTTCATCGGTAATGCACAGCAAGACGCACAAGAGTTCATGCGCTCTCTGCTCTTGGGTTTGCACGAGGATATCAATAAGGTCATCGAGAAGTCCGATTCTGAGTTCACAGATATCGTAGAAATTGTGGATGTCAACGAAAAGGCTTTGGAATCGTGGTCGAGATTCTTGAAAGTGGAGAATTCGGAGATAGTCAATAATTTCGTTGGTCTGCTTAAGTCTTCATTGAAATGCACGTATTGCGGCTATTCCTCAGTGACGTTTGATCCCTTTTGGGATTTGTCATCGCCAATACCACAGCGAACGCGCCAACTGAGTTTGTTCCAGTGCTTGGACTCATTTACCAGAGACGAGTCATTGGATGGCGAAGACAAGCCTACTTGCTCCAAATGCAAGTAGAGGCGAAAATGTACAAAGTCATTATCTATCCAGAGGTTTCCTAAAATTCTTGTCTTCCATCTGAAACGTTTCTCGCTGGATCTGTTCGTAGAAAAACTGAACGTCACAGTTGATTTCCCTTTAGAAAAACTGGATATGAGCTATTACGCAGCCGATGGAAGTGTACCGTTCCACTACAATCTATATGCTATTTCAAACCATAGCGGTACCATCAACAGTGGTCACTATACGGCCTACTGCAAACATCCTTACTCGAACATCTGGCACGAATTTAAAGATTGTCGTGTTTCTTCAATTTCATCAGATTCGATCATCAGTAACAAAGCGTATTTACTATTTTATCAGAAAAATACCCAAGTTGTAACAGCCACCACTTCCACAAGCAAAGGCTGCTCTTCGAGCACCAAACCCGATCAATTCTCAAATATCACCCAGTCGCAAGACAACACCAAGTTTATCCTTGATGATTCCAGGAAAAGTTTTGCTTCGGATCTAGGTATCAACCAACCTAGTTCGAAAGATGGGCATGTGGGATCTTCAAATTTAGTCTCATCTACTGAGTCAAAACCTAGGAGGAGAGGAAGGCCCAAAAAAAAGCCTTTTAAAGATGAACTAGAACTCTTGGTGAATAGACCAGCACATCATGAATCAGGCAGGCCGAAACGCACCTGTGTTGGTCAATCTACTCAGCATGAAATCGCCGGCCAGCACTCTGAAGATTCACAAGAATTGAGGTCCTATTGTTGTCGAGGCTCTTGTTAGCATGAACCTGGGGCAACTATATATTTGGAACTTCAAATTTTTCTTTCAACTTCATGAAATGTACTTATACATTAGTGTAACAATTCATTTTCCTCATTATTTATCAATTTTCGGTGGATCCGACAGCGTTCATAGTGTGAAATCTACTCTGTACTATTATATTTAGAGAAATAAATAGAATTAAAGATAGAACCGAGCAGGAAAAATCAAGAAAACTCGAAAAAATAAATGAAAATCGACAAGAACCCCCAATTATGACAAAAGATGATAAGATATATCATAAAGAACAAACTCGCGACAAGCTAGCTCCTCGTTTTACAGAAGTTCAACCGATAGCTCAAACTCGAAATAAAATTAAAACAGATACTTCCAAATATTCGAAACATAATCTGAAAAAACGTAAAAAATATTAATACATGAATTTATTTTCAGATGAGGCTAATATTCGCATTCTCATCCTATCTACTAATAATGAATCTAATAATAGGATCCATTCATAAATTGACTAATCCTATAGTACCCATAGAAATGAAGGTAACCAGAGTAGTCTCTAGTAAACATACTTTTATCAGCTATATGAATATCACTGAGTTGTTTGATATTAAGAATAAGCTGGATTATCAGATAAATTTTCTCGATAAGAAAAATGCGCTGAGTAGCCAAGGATCTCTACTTTTGCAACAGGCACAGACATTGTTATTACAAGTTGACCACTCACTACAAATTATTCAACCTCATGTTATTCAAAAAAGAGGACTCATCAATTTAGGTGGAAAAATTAATAAATGGCTTTTCGGTACTTTAGATAATGAAGATGGTGAAAGAATAAATTCAATGCTTCAGTCTTTGAATAAAAATGATCAACTCATTCGAGATGAATTGATCAAACAAATGTCTTTAGCTAAAGAAATTATGTCAAAAAGTAATGAAACATTTCATCAAATTGAATCCGATATATATAAAGGCTTTCAATTGATAAAAAATTTCCAAGATCAGGTTAACTAAATAAATGCTCTACATTTGATAATAAATTCTCTTATAACTTTTCAAAGTCAACTCAATCAAATTATAAATACCATTACTTTTTCAAATATCAATGTGGTCCATCCAACTTTCCTTTCTCTATCAAATTTGTATTCTATCATAAATAAAATGAATCAACTTTATTCGTCGAACCAATTGGTAAAATTCAAAAATCAACATAGTTATTATAATTTTCTAGGGATACAAACATTATTTACTTCTAAGAGAATAATTTTTCTAAAACATTTCCCGATCTCGAAACCTGTACCATTCAAAACTTATTTTATTGATCCAGTCCCTATCCAAAATAAAATTATGTTACCATTGAAACCTTACCTTATCCTCAATGAGAATGATGGACTATATCAATATCAAGAGGAACCATGTGAAGAGATCGAGAGTGTCTTCTACTGCAAGAACAACCTACAAAGAGAAGAAAATTGTATCACGAATATCCTGATCAAGAATGAGGCAGCGAACTGTTCCATGTATGATGTAAACTTTGGCAAGCAGTTGACAAACCAATTATCTCCTGACACCATTCTATTCTCCACTCCAGTGAATACCGTTATTACTGAGAGCTGTACCACTGAAAATCATCACGAGATCCAGCCTGGGAGTTACCTCATATCCATTCCTGAGAAATGTTATTTCATTATTAATAACGAAACATTTCTACATGGGCCAGAAGAACATTCTCCAGCAAAAATCATCCAATTACCTTCAGTGAATATATCTCAGATATTTCTGAGTTCGACAAAAATTTCAATCTCTATAATGGATTTAGATGAAATCAAACATCTAACCTCCACTATTAATTCCCAACATCAGTTCCAGCTTTCCCACGAGCAGAATATTAATTCTGACTCCTTACCTGTATGGACAATTATCCTCATTTGCATATTTGTATGCATCATAATTTCCTATGGAGGAGCATGTTACTATAAAAATTGCTATCCATTCAATTTATGCCAATATTATCGTTCATCTCGAAGCCAGCCACCATTCCACATGGAGGACATGAAGCCTGACCAACCAAACCACCCTCAGTCTTCATCTTAAGAAGGGAGGAGTTATGTTCCTGAAGCCGGACCTGTCTATGGAGACAATGCGATGACATCCAGAATGCAGAGTCAGCTTCCTACCGGACTTTATCTATCTATTTTTGCTGAATATTTTCATACCGTGAATTATCTTCTGAATCATAATATAAAAAGGATATATGTATTCTATTGAACATTCCATTCTTGTCACTTGTAGCCTGCATTTTCAACTTCATGAAAAACGCATCGAGAAAAGACATTCTTTTATTGTGTGTTGAGTGAATGTTGAGAAAGAGTTATTCAATACAAAATTGGTTTCAAAACTACGAAGGTGCTTCTACGAACCACAACTGCTAGGGGCACAAACGTAACTAATCCACGATCAAGACTGAGAAATCTCAAAAACATGTACCGTTTACTATTGGTTACATGCTTGTTTGTTCATATGATAATTCCCTCTGTGCATTCGATTATTATACCGGTCGGGATTGTATATGTGTATTCGTCTGAAGACTTCAGTTCTTCAAATCGATGGGATTTCAAGCAATCCGATACCGATTGATCCTTCGACACAGGAGCAATTCGATAATTTTCGAAATGCTTCATGCTGTCATATTTGTTCGAAATCTTTCAGTATTGACGATCGAAAAATCAGAGATCATCCACACTTCACAGGCGAATACAGAGGAACCGCACATATTCATTGTGATCTAGGTTATCGAGATAGTAGTCATACGGTACCTATAATTTTTCATGATATGTCTGGATATGATTGCCGCTTTCTCGTGAGAAATTTGAGTACTGGAATCAAAGGTAAGGTATCTAAATTGCCTGTGAACAAGGAAAAATATATTTCTTTTACTAAATATATCGATGGGACAAGAATTAATTTGATATTTCTCGACTCCTTCAGATTCATGGCTAGCAGTTTGGATACCTCATCCTCATACTCAACAAATTATCGAAAAACCATTACAAAATGATTTGTCCTTATGATTATTTAGACTCTTCGGAAAAATAAAAAAAATAGTTTACCAATGAAGGAACATTGAAAGAATATGTTGAATTGTATTTGAAAACTGATATTTCACTACTGGCAGATATATTCGAAAATTC